CCAATTTTCATGGGATCTTTACCGGTGTTAACAGCTATCCGACTATGGTGTACAAGAACAAAAAGAAATAATTTTAGCGCAGAGATGTCACCTTTGAATGAATCTACCATGTTAAAAAAAAGGTGACAGGTAGAGCAACCATATGGTACTGTCCACAAAGGTGGAGGATACCCCAAAAGGGAGTTTGATTGAAAAATCCCATGGCAAGACTGGAAAACCTGGCGAAACTCCTTGAGGTAGAAGGAGGGTTCAATGAACGAAAAGGTTCAACTTCCAAGAACCACATAGCAACTTTTGAAGTCAAATTGCAACTTGAATAGGCCAAGGAGAGTTATAAAAAAAGCCTGCTCGTTTTGGATGATATGGTGCCTATGCCATCTCCAATTGCAGATGAAATAGCATTCATCCACTTTCAATGAAAGCTGTCAAAAAGTCAGAAGAAGAAAGTGAGAAAAGCTATGGAAGATGAAAATGAAGCCCTTTATAAGAATCAGACGTGGAAACTTAGTTGATCCACGCAAAGGGAAAGAAGGCAATTGGATGCAAATGGGTAATGCAAAGAAAGGATGGATTTCCGACAGAGACAGTGTTTCACTATAAAGGCAAGGTTGGTAGCTAAAGGCTACGCTCAGACGGAGGGAAATTGAATTATAATGAGTATTTTCTCCAGTGTGTAAAACAATTTCCTCCATTCGGATTTTGTTAGCCTTGGTAAGCAACAGTTGATTTGGGAACTAGTTCAAGTTGGAATGTAGAAAACTGCATTTTTACAATGGAGAACTGGAAGAGGAAATCTAAGACTCAGCCAAAAAGGAATCTAAGGTTTGTGGAAAGGAAAATATGGTATGGCAAACTTGAAAAGATCGCTTTATGGATTGAAGCAATTCTCCGAGGCAGTGGACAAAGCGAGTTTGATAAGTTTATGCAAAGGCAGAAGTACACAAGAAGCAAAATACGATCCATTGTGTGTATTTGCGCCAAGCGACAAGATGGCTCTTTTCAGTTTATCTACTTTTGTATGTTTGATGATATGCCTAAATAGCTTCAAAGAAGTAAACAAGAAATTGGAGAATTTGAAGAAGTCAGTTGAATCAAGAATTTGAAATGAAAGATCTAGGCGAAGCAAAAAGGATTATCGGCATGGAGATAACCAGAGAAGGAAATTGGGGAGACTTGTTCTGAATCAGAAGCAATATCTAGAAATACTAAAGGCGTTTGGTATGGATGACAAAACCAACTGTATACACTCTTGCTCCTATTTCAAAAACTCAGTGCAGCTCAGTCGCCAAAAAAGGAAATCAGACGGAATACATGTCAAGAGTCCCTATGCATAATGCTATAGGTAGGCTTGAGTGTATCTATGGTTGTACAAGACCTGTACATTTCACAGCAGTTGGATTGTGAGCAGAATACATGCATATCCTCGGCAAGCGAGCATTGGCAAGCTGGAAATGGATTTCTGCGGTACTTCAAAAACACCGTGAATTTTGGATTGAATTTTTGAGCAGGATAAGAATAGTGGTCAAACGCATAGTCCCGGAATACTGTGATTCTGATTATGCCCGGTGATTTGGATAAACGTCGATCACACGGTTAGTGTGTTTTACTCTGCAAAACCCAAGTTAGTTGGAAAGTCTACTTTACAGTCAACAGTGGCTTTGTCTACAACAGAGGCACAGAGTACATGGCAAGTTACAGAGGCCCTGTTAAAGAAGGCAAATTGGCTTCAAGGAATTGCTGAATGAATTGGGGAATTTAGGCAAAACAAGCATGTTGTAACATTGCGATAAAGTCAAAGGGCTGAATTCACTTGGCAAAGAAACCAAAAGTTATCAAATGCAAGGACGAAGCATATCGATGTTCGATTTCCATTTTGTCAGAGAAAATTCTGGAGGAAAGACAAGTGGTCCAACTCCAGAAGATTCAGACTGCTGAAAAATCCCGCTGATATGTTGACAAAAAGTGGGACAGCTGTCAAGTTCAACATTGTTTTTGACTTGATCAATATTGTTTAAAATGAAAAAGCTTGGCATTGGGCCAAAGCACATTTGAAAACAGTACAACTTCTGTGAGAGAAAAGACAGGAATGCTTTGCATTGGTGGGATTTCGCCAAAAGGTGAGAGATTATTGGTTTAGGTGGCTTGCAAAAATTCCCACATCGAAAGAAAGGGAGGAATAGGGAGTTGTTTGGCTATAAAAGGAAGGTTAGCTCCTTAAATTTTTATTCCATTCCAAAACTGTCCTCCAATTCTTAAGTGGGTTGATAAGTTTCTCTCCGTCTCTCAATTTGTATATTCTTTAGTGAAATTATAAATTTAAGTAGTGTCCGGGACGTAGGCAAAATTGCCGAACCGTAAATTTTGGTATTCTCTTTATTTATTGCTTTTGTTTTTATTTAATTTAATAGCTATTGTGGGCAAAATATTTTTTGGTGGTTATTGTCTAATTAATTACTTCTAAGTAAATTCCTGTCTAGGCAAGTGGGTTTGTAAGTGAGACCATTTGTGACTCCCTCGCACTTACCTGGGAACTTACTTAGTTAGTTAGTAAACAGTAATTCACAAATTGCTTTGTGTGGAAAAGTAGCCCAATTTTCCAACAACATTTTTGCCCATTTTCTTAATGATGTGAGTCCATCTGAAGTGAAAAAACAGGCTGGCTTAAATTGGAGAACCGCTTCACAGATAAGAAAAACTTTTCAAAAGACAACATTGAGAAGGTTCAATCAATGTAGAAGTTTGCATACAGAGATGGCCAATCTCTCTGATGGCAATCTAAATGACAGGTCAGACAACTTCTTCTTCATTTTAATTATTAGATTCTTGTTTGTTTTACTAATTGTTATTAATTCTTGCTGCTTTTGATCAACTGATTACATTTAAATTAGCAGTTGTAAAACGCGACTTTTACTGCAAAAAAGTTCTCAAATGATATGAATGAGAAATTTTATAAATTATCCTTAAGAACAGAGAAAATACAAAGAGAAAACTTTTTTTTTTTTTTTTACTGATCTGAAAAAACAATTCAAAAAATAGATTTCTTTTTATTGTTTTGTTGAACAATGAGACTCTGCATGACAGGGAATTGAGTCGGAGTTTATTCAAGTATTGTTGAAGACATAACTCCAGCTAATTGAGAAGATCAATCATAGCATGCCAAGGATTTTGTGGGAATGGAGTCTATGTGGAGAAAATAAATGAAAATTATCTAAGATTAAGGGGAACTTGAGTAGTTAATAAACTATAGGAATATGTTGGGATGGGTGGAATAGGTAAAACAACTTCATTTCTAGTGTGTTTACAAAGGATATTTATTGTCAATTTTGAAAGGGAGTTTTTTGAAAATTTTTTAGAGAATCTTCTGAAAAATAATGGTATAGTTTCTTAACAGAAAACAACTTTATCAACTTCTATCTGCAACATTGATGGATAAAGACATACAAATATATGATGCTTATAGAGGAACTGACGAAATAAGCAATAGGTTGTCTCGTAAAAAGATTTTAGCCATTCTTGATGATGTTGATCAGGTGGAGCAATTAGAGTTTTTGATTGGAAAAAAGGATGAACATTGGTTTGGTATCGGAAGTAGGATCATCATAACAACAAGAGATGAACATCTGTTGAAAAAACATGGAGCAGATGAAATATACAGAGTTGAGGAGTTAAGTCAGGATGATGCCTTTAAACTCTTTTGCTCAAAGGCCTTCAAGAATAATCACACAAGGAGGAATATGTGGAGCTTTGTAACGATTTTGTAAAATATGCCAGTGGCCTCCCTTTAGCTCTTAATATTATAGGTTCCTCTTTGTGTGATAAATCTGCAAGGGAATGGAACAGCACATTAGACAGACTAAAAGAAATTCCAAATGAAAAATTCTGAGCAAGCTTCAATTGAGCTATGATGTGCTTTGTGAAGGATCAAAAAAAAATATTCCTTGATATTGCATGTTTCTTCAAAGGAATGGAGAAAGAATATGTGATAAAAGTACTAGAAAGCTGTGGATTCTTCCCAGAAAGCGGAATAGGAGAACTCATCGATAAATCTCTCATAACTATACGATGTGGACATTTGTGGATGCATGATTTGGTTCAAGAGATGGGAAGAGAAATCGTTCGTAAAGAATCTCGCGAAGACCCAAGCCTACGTAGTAGAATATGGCTTGACAAGGATCTCTATCACGTTCAAGTAAAGGACATGGTAAGTAATACTTACTGTTTGTTTTATAGTATTCGGTAATTGACAAGGTATCTAATTATTTATTATTCTTTATATACCCTCAATTGACAGAAAACAGAACAAGTTAAGGCTATAGTCCTGCATTCTTGGAAACAAGAAGAGGAACACTTAAGTGCTAAAGTTTTCTCCAGAGTGAAAGAGCTGAGATTGCTTATTCTCCGAAGTGTACCCACCTCTCAGGAAGTTGAATATCTTTCCAATGAGTTAAGTTATTTGGAATGGTATAAATGTCCATGTAGAACTTTTCCATCAAATTTTCAACCAGATAAACTTGTCCAGCTCCATATGCAGCACAGCAGTATTGAAAGACTTTGGAAGAGATCAATGAAGGTGCGTGTTTCGTGATTTAATTTTCTACCACAATGTTACTTAGTAATTAAATAATCTATTCATTTTTTTGGTATATCTTGTTGTAGCCTATTAAGTTGCTGAAGGGTATATCTTGTTGTAGCCTATTAAGTTGCTGAAGGTCATTGATCTTAGTTACTCGGAAAGTTTAATTGAGACCCCGGACTTCCGAGGGATCCCAAATCTTGAGGAGTTGAATCTTGAAGGATGTAGGAATCTTCATGAAGTTCACCAATCTATTGGAGTTCTAAAAAGGCTTGTTTTCCTTAACCTGAAAAATTGCGGAAACCTTGTGTCTCTTCCAAGCAGCATGTGTAACTTAAAGTCCCTTAAGAGTCTTATCTTGCGTGGCTGTTCAAAACTTATGAAACTTCCAAATATGTTGGGGGATAGGATATGAACTGTTTGGAGGTGTTGGATGCAGCTGGAATTGGTATGCAACAACTGGAATTAGCTAAGCAATGGAATTTCCATCTTCTGTCATGGTTGATGCCTTCGACTTGGAAGAATCCAGAGCCTATGGTTATGGCATTTCCTTCAGCTCTACCCTTCTTGAAAGAACTAAATCTTAGTTACTGCAATCTTCCTGAAGGAGCCATTCCTAATGACCTTAGTGGCTTCCCCTTGCTGGAAGGTCTCAATCTAAGTGGGAACAATTTTATGACGTTACCTTCAAGCATCAATCATCTTTCCCAACTCCATTGTCTTGAGTTATCTAATTGCAAGAAGCTTCAGTCATTACCAGATCTTCCATCGAATATCATATGTCTGTATGTGAAAAACTGCACTTCTTTGGAAAGTCTTCCAAATTTGTCTGACAAACCCAATGTGAAGGATTTTCAGATAGATTTCTCGTACTGCTCTAAGTTAAATGATAAGAAAGGGACTATCAATGTGGCATTTACATGGCTGAAAAGTTTTCTGCTTTCGTTTCTAAAAATCCGCCCGCTGCTCAGGATACAAGAAATCTGCACAAACATGGATCAGTTACACAGAATATGCCACAAGGTCTAGCTCTGAATTCATTTCTTTCTTTTTATGCCAGTAAATTTTTTATTCTGAAGCAGTAACACATTACAGGTAATAAATTTGATGCAGAAAGGAATTTATCCATACAGATCACTTTCATTCCTTGACTTCTCTATGTACTTACCTGGAAGTGAAATTCCCGACTGGTTCAACTATCAGAGTTCCAACAGTCCGTTGAAAATATACCTGTCTTCAACTGAAAAATGGTGGAACATTGCAGGTTTTGTTGTTTGTATTGTGCTAGCTGTAGATGAGGAAACTACTTGTAAATTTGCAGTTTATAGTAAAAACAAGGCTGTTTGGGAGACCGCCTATCTTCTCAATGGAAGATCAGACCATCTTTACCTCTTCTTTATTGCCAATCCCTTGATTGATCCTTATGAAGAAAAAAGTCCCACCAAGGTGAAGCTAACTTTCGATGAAATAGAAATCAAAAAGTGTGGGATACGCATTGTACATGAGAAAGAAATAGAAGAATTAATTGTACATGAGAAAGAAATAGAAGAATTAGTCCAACTTGGTAAACCTTTAGAAAATTTGTATGCTTTTCAGAATTTTGAAGAAATATATAGTCCAAGCCACGAAGAAAGTTTTGACAGTGGAGAGGAAGTAAGTACAGAGTTGGAATTCTGGTCAGAGGGAGAGGCAGATGATATGGAGTTGGGAATCTGCTGCTCAGATAAAGAGGAAGATCATGTGGAGTGGGAAATCAGCTGCTCAGGGAGAGACGAAGATGACATGGAGTGGGAAATTGGCTCGCCATTGCGAGAGTTTGATTAGTTTTTATCAGGAATTAATGCTGAAAAGGTACTTTAACCGTATGAGAATTGTAGTTTAAGGCGTCTCTCGCCGCTTTCGGCTCGTTGGGCCAGTAGCCTCTCGCCACTGACTTTTTATAATTAAGGAGACAATTTATTCTCCTAAAATAAAATGTTCATCAATTTGACTACATTACCCTTTACAAAAGTACAGAGATAAGTTAGTGCATTGAATATAAACAAGGATAAAATGAAAAAAACTTTATTAATTATTCCTAGATATTCTCAAAACAATTTATATTTATAAAGAAAATAATTATCTTAAAACAATTTATACTTATGGATAGAGAGAGTATAATAAGAATAAATGAACGATATTGTCAATCTTTAGATTTAAAATTGTATTTATTTCAATATAGACACATCAATAATAATTATCTTATCCCAAACTAATTTTATATTATAAGATTAATCCTTTTGTAACCGTAAACTCTTTCCTTTTAAATGATTCATGTTGAACTAACAACCATAAGAAAACAATTAATAAGATTTAAAGAATTATTAGAAATGCATTTGTCCATGCTAATCAAATACTACAATGTTGAACTAGAATTGAAAACATCACCTGCAGGAAGCTTTTTGATAAATTTAAGAACAGCTTTGACAGTATTTAGAGCAGCAAGTGAACCAAATGTAGAGTGCAGCCAAATGTTATAATCGAATTATCTCGCTGATCAAGTCCGACATTCCCTTGAATCAACGAGCAGTGGAAAGCCAATTAGACAAGCAGTCTGATGAAACAAGACCAATTAGGTATGGTTTATGGTCGAGTTATGATATACATTACCGTTTAGACTAATGATTGTGTCGGTACAAACTAAGTAACTCATATTTATTAACAGAAAAGACAATTACATTACTACTGGCAAGAACTTCTGCCATACTGTCAGTTGAAGCCTCAAAATGTTCTTGAAAGGAAATCTTCTAGAAGCTGCAATTGTCTATAAAAAATATAAAAAAATATTGGCTGTTGATCCTTTAAGCCCAACAACTAGCTTTGGCTTTTGTGTCAGGCACAAGCTTGAATTAACACATTTATCTAGTTCCATCCCCTGAGTTGAAAATTAAAAACATTACATACCCATTATTAAAAAGATCAAAAAATAAGAAACTGTATCGAAGATTAAGTAAAAAAATCTCAAACAACTTTTGATAATGAAATATGATATTGTATATGAAATTCCTAAAGTTGTCATTCTTAAAACTCAAAAAAGCAGAGAGTCTTGTGTACTGCGGATCCACTTTTTAACTACCAAAAAAGTAAACATCAAGGAATCAAAAATTTCATGCAGGGTTAACCTCTAAGCTTGCAGCAAGATGAAGCCAATGCTGGTTTACTTCAGCCCAGAACAGTGGCTCCGCCGCATTAGCCTCCTTCACAGAAAAAAATTGCTCATTGCTGTATCCAACAATTGTTTCCCAGCAATTCAAGCATCTCCTTGAGGGACAGTGGTAGCTTCCATTCCTTTATGCTCAGCAACATCACTTGAGCTTACAGTTCCATTTGGGTTCTGCAAAATCAAGAAATTCTGAACATGTAAAAGATGCATTCTTTTGGGTTCAAGAAAATAATAGTAATTTTCAGTCGCAGGCTTAGCCTAGTAGTAGTAAGTGCATATCTAACTTAGACAAAGACTCGAGTTTGAATCCTTATTTTCAGTACTCTGAAGAAACAAAGGGAATGATTTATACATACCAGCCAATCCCAAAGGCCAGTGTTAGCGAATTTCTTTGGAATGGAAACATCTCCAATGAACATAGAATTGTTTAAATTGCCAGCTATGCCAAAATGAATAATGCCAGTCATGTCAAACAGATCCAACATTTGTTGTGTTGCTGCAGCGGCATTCACCTGATTGAACCAACAGCAAATTTTTTTTAATATCAGAAAGAATCACCTCTCATGGTAATATAAATATACATGTATATATTTGAAACTATCCAACAAAAAATATTAAAAAGAATGGAGTTCTCATTAACCAAAAAGAAAAAATGAAAAATTTTATTCCAAGAATTACATCCTATTCCCAATCAGGAGCTAACCAAACATATCGAACTAAATCAGAGCCTAATTAACAAAAAAAATAAAAGAAAAGAAAAGGAGAAAAGAAAAGGAGAACAAATAAGAAAGGTAAAAGATTTACCAATCCAATCCCACATCTAACATAGATAACTTTCTTCTCATAGATTGTTCCCACCCTGAATCTCCTTCCTGCAATTTCACAATATTACTTCCACTTGCAAAATACACTATCAGTAGCTACTATCAGTAGCTATAAATAGTATATTTTACTGAAATAGTTTACCTGAAAGATCCACAAAAGGGTACTTGGGATTAGGCATGAAAGCACCGGTTGCAAAGAAAGCGTTCTCCTCAGTTGTATATACAGTAACAAGACCAATATAAAGCCCTACCTTGTTAATTTCCTTGATTTTGATCCAAGAAACTCTTTTCTTTGATGAAACAGCAGCAGACACTAATATAACTTGCAAGAAAATCCAAACCAGCAATAGCATTGTGAAGCATTGTGCAGTTTTTCTTGCAGCCATGGCTGAGTTCCGTGTTGTTTTTTAGCTGAATTTGACAATCCTATATATAATGTTGAATTACTGTAGAATTGTTATATAAATTCATATATTATTTTCTTTCTGAAGCTGTCTCTCATGGACGAATTCTTTCAGTAAAGAAGATCAGACAGAAAAGATTTTGAATAGTATGTTCCCATCCATTATTAAAATTTGATTTTATATTATCATTTGTCACATGTTTGAATAGAATAATAGATTTCTTTCAAGTGTAAATAAAATAGGCACATGATTGTCATTTTTCAACTGGTGGTTAAAAACCTCATATTAGACTAATTTGGAGACTGCAAGGCAAGACAAATGAATTAAAAAACTCAGCTGAGTCTGACACAGAATTGTTCGGAGTTCACTCAAAAACATTTTTTAATTTCTGACAAATAGCTGGGTTAAATCTTCCAAGTCCAAAAGAGAAGACATGGCATTTTTTAATTAGGTTTAACCAGGCTTCAATAGAAGTTTAAAACAGTATTGTTAGAATCGCACGATTCACCATATAAATCCTACTATTCGTATCGAATCTAAAAGAAATCGATACCAATCTTAGGGATGTATCAGAGAGCAACCTGAATCGAAAGTGGATTGTACGAATCAGCAGCGAATCAGAATGAATCGCAACAAATCAAGATTCATGTAAAATATAAAAGAAAACTAAAAAAAACTAAAATATGGGCCCAAATGCAAACATAGGAGGAGATTAAACTTCACATGTATTAAAAAAATTAAACGACGCAATGTCAGGAAGACAGAAACAACAATACCTGGTTGGCTTACCATTGATATTTTGAAATTAAGAACAACACAAATTGTTAAGTTTATTTAGTATATGATTGATATTATAATTTTCAATTGAATATTTAATATCTTTCGATAAAATTATTCGGAATTAGAATTTTAATTGATTCTCAAGAGGCTATAGAAAATCTTATGATTCAATTCTAAATTCTCAATTCTCAATTCAACTCGATTCTCAATTTTCAATTCAAAAACTGAAGCTTCTCAATTCTCAGTTAAGATTTGACAACACTGGTTTACGAACAATCAGAATGTCTAAATTTGTTCCTCGAATTCATCCGCATTTCTATCGGAGATTTATGTAATTAAACCCTATTAATTGTTTTATTTCTGGCCACATGGAAAAATCTGAACACAGCACAAGCATCGGTTGACCACAAAAAAATGCTCCACATTTTGAGATCAAATTCAATTATTCCAAGCAAATCTTCTATGTGAAGTAATGAGAAAATTAATGAAGTAATGAGAAAATTAATAATAATAAGATAATATTATTGAGACAGATTTCATGGCAATGAGCTTTTCATTGATCACGTGTAATGTTAAATACAGTAAAGAAGTTCTGAACCCTAGCCCTCTACAAACTCTGCAAATCAGGAGAATACATTGTACATCAATTTCTTACAAAAGTAAATGGATAGTAAAACTCATCACAAACTCAGTTCTGCGCGTGTTTGCGAGAAATTGCAGATCGCAGATGGCGAACTATGGGGTGGCTGGTTATTGCCTAGAATTGTAAACGAACTTCGTTTCCTCTTAGATGACTTTTTCGTTCTATTTTATTTTATGTGCAACTCGGAGACCAGTAAGTATGCACCTGACTGTACTTGATCTTAAAGAATTAGGTGACTCCATTATACTTTTGTTTTTTAATAAATGATTTTTATTATTATTATTAATTAATATTTTTATTTATCTTTCATATTAAAATAAAAAATAATATGTGCACTTTGGTGATATATAAAATGAAACTTTGTATTAATTCCCTTTGTGTAATCAGTGATGTTACTTGCTCATGCGTCTTCACTTTTAAACAAATTGATGTTGCTGGTATTAGATAAGATAACAACGTAGTTGGTACAAAGACTTATTCAAATTCTATTCTGTTATATTTAGATATATACAAGTTCCTTGAAACAAGGATTAGAAGAGTCTGTAATCATGTATTTAAATTACACTTGTATGTGAATAGATTATCACTTCCTCTAATCGTTTTTATGGTATCAGAGCCTTTTGCTCAAACAACATTTTTTTTTTTCGATCCTATCTGTGATTCTTCTATTCCTTTTCAATGACTAATCCTTTGGAAGAAACCAGTTCCACCACTCCTACCGTTCTTCAAATGCCAACCCTAAATCCCTCTGAAACTCAATTAGTTTCCATTAATGCCTCCGCTCAAGCTCCTCTTAAACTGACTGCCACAAACCACCAATCGTGGCATACTCAGTGGTACTCTCTATTGGTTGGTTATGATTTTCTTAAGTTTGTTGAGAACCCTATTGCTAGTAATCTGACAGCTAGTTCCTATCTGTTTCGTCAAGATCAGCTCCTTCGAAGTGCTATGATCGCTTCTCTTTCTCCCGATGTTGTCTCTTATGTTGTTGGTGAGAAAACTTCTCACGATGTTTGGGTTACTCTGGAGAAAACCTATGCTAGAAAACCTATGCGTAATCACTCAAGCTCGCATAAAGCTTGAGAGAGTCTCCTTATTTACGCTAAGAAAGGGATCTTCATACATTACTGAGTTTCCTCCACAAAATTAAATCGATCACGCACTACACTCTGCTGGCTGGTGTTGTTATTACAATGAATTAAACTGTTCTGCCTGTTCTTCATGGTTTACTGCTGAATATAGGAGGTTTCGGCTGCTCATTCGAGCACGTGACTGCTGAGAGTTTCTTTTGACGATCTTCATGATGAAATGACTGACTTTGAGAGTCATTGAATCGGAGTCGAATTTGGTTGTTTACTCCACAACGGTGAACTATACTGCGAAAAACATAGCTGATCGTCAACTGGCTCCTCATCTTTCACTTTTGTTAATTTGGAAATTTTTCAGGTACTCCCTACTTCTCCTCGACCTACAAAAATAGGGTTAAATGTCAATTTTGTGACAGGCCTGGGCATGTCACCAAACAATGTTTTAAACTCAAGAAATTGCTCCCATGGTTGTTTAATGAAAACTCCACTACTGCTGGTTCAAAGGCTCAAGCTCAAGTTAATTGTGTTACTAGCAATCGGCAGACAAATGATCCTCGTTGGGTTGTCGATTCAGGTGCGAATCAGCATGTGGTAGAAGATTTAAAGAATCTGGCTATTCATTCAGATTATGAAGGCAGTGATAATGTTTTCCTTGGTGATGGTAAATCCTATCCAATTTCTCATACAGGGACTGTTACCTTAAATTCTGCCATCAAGCCTTTGAGTTTAAAGAATGTTTTATGTGTTCCTGCTCTTGACAAGAATCTTATTTTTGTTTATAAATTGTGCACTGATAATAATGTTGAGGTGACATTTAATCCCTTTCTGTTTACTGTGAAGGATTTGAGCACGGGGGCGCTGCTAGCGGAAGGGAAGCCAAGCCACTAATGGCATTATGAATGCCGCCCAGATCTGTCAAGAGGTTCTTCTTGAACATTCAATCATATTGTTGCTTCTTCACAGCCCTTATGGCATCATCGGGCTAGGCCTACCTCAACACCTATCTTGCGTCTTATTTGCAGTCATGTTGAATTTATCAGTTTCAAAATTTCTTTTGTGATTCATGTAAGTGCAACAAAATGCACAAGTCTCCATTTTTTGAGTCCACTATGACAAGCTCTACTCCATTGGAGTTAATTTACAGTGACGTTTGGGGACCGTCACCGGTCACTTCTATTGATGAATTTCGGTGTTGTATCATTTTTGTCGATCATTTTACCAAATTTGTGTGGTTGTTTCCTTTGAAAAGAAAATCTGACATGTCTTCAATTTTTCCGGTATTTCACTTCAATAGGAAAATTAAATCAATCTATTCAGATAATGGGGGGGAATTTATAAACCTGAAAGCTTACTTGCAAGAAAAGGGATTTCTCATTTTCTTACTCCACGCTACACACCAGAACATAACGCCACAGCTGAGCGTCGACATCGACACATTGTCGAAACCGGGCTCACATTACTTCATCAAGCCAATCTACCATTATCTTTTTGGACATATGCTTTTCAGATAGCCGTATATTTAATCAATAGAACGCCAACCTCTATTTTGGACAATAAATCACCTTTCTACTGTCTTCATGGCAAAGAACCCAATTATGCTAAATTAAAGGTTTTTGGGTGTTTATGTTATCCTTGGATTCGTCCATTTAATAAACATAAACTAAAAAACTCTTCCTTGTGTTTTTATTGGGTATTCAGCTACTCAAAGTGCTTATCAAGTGCTAAAGTATGATCCTCATTCATCCAAAATCTATCTTTCTCGTCATGTTGACTTTATAGAATCTGACTTTCTGTTTAATTCTCTAGCCACAGCTTTAGAACGACCTAATTCTCATACATTAGATACCTGGTCACCCATACATTTTATTTTACCAATGTCTGCAGGTCTTGACAGTAGTGGGCAACCAAATTATGTGAACCCTGATTCCTCGGCTTCATCTTCGCTAGTTCAACAGCAACCCGAACACAGTAGCAACCCGAACACAGTAACATCTCGGATTCTGGTTCAGGTACTGAAATTTCTAATTCACCTATTTTATTACCTACTCAAAGTGATGTTGTGAGCATCTTGCCGTTGGCCTCTAATCTCAATCAGAATGTACATCCAATGGTGACACGCAGCAAAAATCAAATTCGAAAGCCAATTAATATACTGTGTCTATCCACTGAAGTTCAATCTGATATTCAATTTGTTCCCAAGACTGTTGCTCAGGCAATGAAGGATCCGAAGTGGCGATCTGCCATGGAAGAAGAATATCAAGCCCTCATGAAGCAGAAAACTTGGAGTTTGGTTCCTTTGGAAAAAGCAAATAATATTGTTAGCTGTAAATGGCTGTTTCGATAAAGCGTGATTCTAAGGGAATTCCAGTTCGGTATAAAGCACGTCTAGTGGCACGAGGATTTACTCAAAGACCAGGACTTGATTTTGATCAGACCTTCTCTCCTGTTGCAAAACATCCCACAGTTCGGGTTATACTATCTATTGCTGTTAGTAAAAATTGGCCTCTTCGACAGGTGGATGTCAATAATGCCTTCCTTCAATGCTCTTCCTCATGGCAAAATAAATGAAAGTCGTTGTATGGATGCAGCCACCTGGTTTTTATTCAACGATCACAATTTGAGAAATTTGTTGCAAAATTGGAGAAGTCTCTCTACGGATTAAAACAAGCCTCCAAGGTTGGTCCTTCTGTTTAAACTCGTTCTGATAGCTGCTGGTTTTCAGCAATCCAAATCAGATTCTTGCCTACTTTATATATATCGACTCCCGCTTCCGCCCCCTCCCTCTCCCTCTCCTCCCATACCTCCCCCCGCTCCCCCACCCCTCCCCGGCCCCCCCCCAAGGGACTATTGTTTATTTTACTAGTTTACGTTGATGATTAAATATTACCTGGGAGTAGTGCTATGCGAATTGAAGCATTCAGTAATCAA